AAAAAAAACAACAGTTAAATGACAAGAAGACATTGGTAACAAAAAGCCAATTGGCCTGACCTCTCTGCAGGAGCTCTCTGTCGATGTCGAATGGAGTCCCAGCGATGGCGCCACTGAAAACAACAGGATTCATTTTATCATATCTGTGAGACCAAAATGAAAGTCACACACGAGCGCGTTCAGGGCGTACCTGCCGAGAGGTAAAACGTTAACTCTTTTCTTGAGCTCCTGAAGCCGCTCCACATCTCTGCTGAGGGCAACAGCGTGGCTGGAGACAGAGATGCACGAGACTGACGTGAACACCACACTGTCTTATATGAAAGGAGGGAAAAGTGCAAATATGTCAGTACAGGAAGATCACCTCAGAATCCAGTGGCTCCATCTGATTGGCTGTGCCCTCTGCATGTGGGTGTAACCAGGAAAAAGGACTTCAATTTCTCTGAGTTTCAGAAAAAGTGATGGAAAATATCATTTTTTAAAAACTGCAAGGTTACAGCAGAGCACATGTTTACGTATGCCAGTGTGTGTGTTTGTCTCACGCTGCCGCCCGCTCCACCATGGTAGTTATCAACTGAAGCGCGTTGTCCGCAAGGGTTGAGATTGCGCTTCGCAGCCACAACCTCATGTCAGTCACCACCTGATCAATCAAAACACACAGAGGGTAATATTTTAATCTTTTCTATTCTATAACAGTTAAATCATTACAGTTTTAATATCACAAGCACAGACCTGGTCATTCCTGCTCCTGCCTGTGTGCAGCTTCCCTGCAGGTGCACCAATCAGCTCCTGAGAAAACATGTAGCCACACGACTATGACATCTGTCACCACAGCGATCACCAAGCCCTCAACGGAGGAGGAGATCAGTGTTTTATAGCCCAAAACTGAAACAATAAAACACTCAAATTACATTTTATCGATGGCAGTTTTTTTCCTCTAAATGCTCCACACATCAGGGTAAGACCAAAGCGATTTTACAGAATCTTACGCTCATCAAATAGAAATAGCAACAGCCATCAGGGGCGATAACCAGTATCTGAACCCAATATATGTGTATACATTTTTTTAATTGTTTTCAGCAGTGGTAGAACACATATTTAGTGTTCTACTAAAATCAACAGTAGAACTTATAAATGTAATTTTCATTGTTTTCTGGAAAATACTGATGTGGAATAAGCTCTATCAAGCTTCTGCTGCACCATGCAGCACTTCTTGGTAGGATCAATTCAACAATTGCAAACTGAGCAAAACATAACCTGTATATTTTTTAAAAAATACTTTTCTACTTCCACTATGCTCCGCTTCCCTTTCTTCTTTCTCCTCTAACCCCAACCAGTCATCTAATGTGGCTGTGCCTCCCTGAGTCTGGTCCTGTTGGAGGTCCCTGCCACTGTCACCAAGCACTACCTCATAAGTCGAACTCTGTTCACTGCACTTTTCTTTTTAATGTTGTAGAGTCTTTGCCTTATGATATAAAGCATATTGAGCTGATTGTTGCCGTGAAAACAAAAGGAAAAAGAAATTCTACAAGCCATAACTCACCTTTAGTCTGCGCTCATTGGCAGTATGAATATCTTCATCTCCGGGTTTGATGACAAAAACACCTCTAGACCACTCATCAGAAATCTGCAGAAACAAATAGGGACTATTTTAAAATATAATCTGTAAATAAAACATATTAATACATAGAATGTTTTCAGTAACTGTGCATGAGTATGGAAAATGTCAGTCCTGGTTACATAATGACAATCGCACCAACTAAAGCAGAACCTCAGGACAGAGAGGGCACCCTAAAAAATGAGCTGCATGAAAGAAGAACTAAGGCTGTTTAGCAGCTGACAGATGTCACATGATGACACCATTGTGCAGCTCACACTCAGTAGAGGAATCCTCCACCATGGCACATTTTCAGCTGTCATCTATTAACCAGCAAAAGGGAAGGCAATGATACACATAACCATGCAAGTGATTTTCTGCTACTGCCAGCCTGTGGTTGCCCCTGAACTATCTTTCTTAGTTGCGGTTTATGTTGTGACTTCACCTGAGCCATCCCGTGTAAGATTTGCTCCATTTCGTCCGTGCTGACAAGCTTTGCCCTCTCCAGAGCTTTAACATAAGCCTTGCTCCCACGGATGTCTGCATCCCACATCCTCTGGTCATAAGCGATTGAGGCATTGAACTTCTCCATAATAGGATCGGTGTCTCCAACAAATCGACCTCCCCAGAGTTTACTTCCCTGAGAAGGAAAAGGGTAACAAGAAAAAAGTAAAGAAAAAATTCAAATAGGTCAAAACATTAACTTTACAAGGTAAAACTCCGTGGCTTTGGTTGGTTTATTGTTAGCTAATGTGCCCTCAATGGAGGAGAGACCCCAGTTTGACAGTTTGCTTTTGTTGTTAAGTGTCCAGCTGGGTGTTAAAACAACAAACCCGCCAATGGCCGTACGTCGTTTGCACGCTTACCTCTGTACTGGCCATGTCTAACTGACGGTAGGCGTCTGTGGCGATTTAATGTTGGTTTTGTAGTTTAGCTGAAATAACGCTAAACACTCGGACGTCTGGCGAGAACGAGGCTGCTGCCACTGAAGCGGTTGGTGTCGCTTTAAAAAACGTCAGAGGAGACGTCCCGGCGTCTTGCTACGTTTAGGGCTCCGTTGCAACGTAACAGGTGTGCAGTCAGCAGAGTTGACGTCGTTCCGTTGGAAAACGTCTTTTTTTATTATTATTATTATTATTAAAATGTTGTACTCTTGATTTCAAACATGGAATTTTGGAAGTTGTCTGTAATATATATTAATGAAATCCTAAATGTTGATGACGATTTTTGTTTTTTTACAACACTTTTGCGAGAGAGTATGTCTTTTTCATGGTTGAACATTTAACTCTTTGGAGAGACCTCCAAAGTTATATATTTTGCTAAACTAAACCAACAATTAACACTGAGAAATACTACATTTTTTAACGTAAAGAAAACAATTTATGCACTTACAATTGCTAGAAAATTTTCATTTCCATAATAAGATTAGAAAGGAGTACAACAGAGGAAAGGCTCAGGTCGAGTGGTTTGGGAGAAGGCTGAGAGAAGGATGAGATGGTTTGGAAACAAAGGATGTTGAATATGAAGCAGGAGGTAAAGATGTGGGACCACAGAGAAGATTTGTTGATGCAGTGAAGGAGGACGTCCAAAGGTTTGGTGTGACACAAAAGGTAGCAAGAGATAAGGTAGAATGTATTTGTGTGAGTGTTCAGTAAGACTAGAAAAGAGCTATACAAGTGCCAGCCCATTCACGATTTGGTTATAATATTGAGCAGATATTGCCACAGGTTTACACCTGTAGCAGTCCACTGTGTCTGAAGAACAGAGGCAGAAATGTTTGCAGTGATGATGGATTTAGTATCACACAGAACAAAGATGTATGTAGGATTTGTAAAAGATCAAAAAAATAAAAACTGTTTAATAACACTGGAATTACTTAAGTTGCACTGACTGCTAATAGCGAACACAACACATTTAACATTTATCTGCTTTGCTTTTGCAACTTTGATTCTTTTGTGTTGTTTTCGGATTTCTGTCTTTTCATCGGTTTCTGTAACACCCAAACACCAGTCTACTATTTTGCAAGTGGAAATTAATCAAGAATGAATTTAGAAATATTTGATTTTGATTTTAGTGAACCAAGGGTTTAAGCTTCCAGCTCAAAAGAAACTGAACACTAAACATCTCACAATGCTCTGTTTTTTATTTTAATGTAAATATGCGATACTTGTCATTCATTATTTATATCTTTCCTAGGGAATTTTTTTTTATCTTTGTGTTATTTTAATTATTTTAGTGTGTTGGTATTTACGGAGAAGTTCTCTTTGAATCTTGTTGTGCTGTGTACAATGACAAGGGATTCAAATCTGTTGTCGTGTCCCTCTGTTATGTGTTGGACACTCCAGTACATTAGATGGCGATCTGCGTGTTTCCTGCCTGTGGAGTCAACAGGAAACACCCATTACAGGGAAAAGGCGGGAAGTTTCAGCATAACTAGGCGCGTTTGTGAGAGCAGCGAGCATTTCTATTTAATCCGTCGGAGTGTGCAGGTGTGCATTGCTGTTCTCTCTTGAGGTAAGTTGACGTTTTTAAAAGTACTTTAAACTCCCTTTTTCTCGACAAAAGATTTGGCGTCACATTAGGTGCTCGTGTCGGCGGGATTAGGTTTTTATAACATTTAAGCATTTACTGCTGTTCTACCGCTGATATTGTTACCGTGATCGTTTTCCACCTTGAGGAAGCATCAGCCAAAAAAAACGTATTCTTTTGGTGTACTTATTAGTTCATTGGATGATTAATAATTAAAACGTCCAGTGACCTCTTCTGTTCAGAAAACCGCATACATCCGAAGGCTATTTATCACCACGAATATTATTCAGTCAATCAAATTCATTTCAATTTGTACTGTCACAAAAACGTGATTACTGATTATAGAAACGAGGCCTCTAAATGTAGTGTTTAAAACAGTGTAGTACATGAAACATTTTATTGCCGAATTATCTCCAAAATAACTCTTGAAATGTACTCGGGAGTTGATTAGTTTCGGGTATGCGTAGGCAGGTGTAACTTTTGTTCCTGAGAAAAAACAAAAGAAGGAGAAATAAATGTGTAAATGTGCACAGACCATCAACAATGGCAAAATGTTTTAGAATAACCATCCGTGTTTATAACACCATCTTGGCTTACAAATAGTTTGGCTACAAAATGGAGGTTCTGCATTCTTTATCTTATTGTTTTAACCTTTTGAAATTCAATGAATGTAATTAGAAATGAATGATTACTTTGATCTTTTCTTATATATGTTTTTTTTATCTATTGAGAATAGTTGCACTGATTTTTGTGCAGTAAAAGTAATCATATTCAATGCTCTTTCGATATTAACAAACACGGTACACTGGTAGTGTTAGTAATTGGAAATTAATGAGTCATTTGTTCACCTTTCTCCTTCAGGTGAAATGGCTTTCATAACTGGCATCCCAGCTGCTGGACTTAAGGTACTAATTTCCTCCTGTAATAAAATAGTAGGATATTAATAATTAATAAGTCATTTATATACATTTACCACATTATCCTAGTTTCTGAACTAGTTGTGCATTAATTTTACAGACCGGAAAGGAGCCACCGCGACAAGGTGTGGGGGGTTTGGTGCCATCGGTAGTCCTTGAAATGCATGAAGGTGAAGAGAGTCTACATATTCCTAATGGCCATGGAGAGTCCTCAAATCATGGTAGTGAAATATTAAGCAGTTTATTTTCCACTTAATTTT